AAAATTAATATAAATCATAAATTTCGATATAACACAAAAGCGCATTATTAAGATTGTCAATTATTAAGACCATAGTTGTTTCTATATAAAAAATATATAGTTATATACTTTACACGAATGATTAAATTTATAAATTTACAAAAAAATAATAAATATAATTTTTTAAATTATAAATTTAATCGTTCGTGTAAAGCATATGATTATATTTTTTCATGTAAACAATTATAATCTTAACTGACAATTTTAATAATACGCTTTTATCGAAATTTATATTAGGTGTACAACTTTGCTTCCGCCGTTTTCCTATAGATGACTTTAGCGGTAAGTGGTGGTCGAAATAAATAGATCATAGACGTCATACAATAAACTTGGGCATCTGTCAACATAACCCCATTAGTCGATTTATGTCTGCATCATAAAGTTATTCTCGATTGAAAATATCAGTTTACGAGCCAAATTCTCGTCATTTGCGAGAGGTTTTAATTTTTTGCTTCAATATGAAGAAATGCGGCTGAGGCTCATCGAATGCTCTCAAATACTTATGGTGAGGCCGCTATTAGTGAAAGAACGTGTCGTGAGTGATTTCAACGCTTCAAGAACGGTGATTTTGACGTCATGCTCTGTATTTAGTGGGATCAGCTCGGCGTAGTGTATTATTACTGTTAAAACCGACTGAAACAATCACAGACGATCGGTATCGAACGCAATTGATGCGTTTGAGTCGAGCATTGAAAGACAAACGGCCGCAATACAACGAGAGACACGATAAAGTGATTTTGCAGCATGACAATGCTCGACCCCATGTTGCGAAAGTGGTCAAGACATACTTGGAAACGTTGAAATGGGAAGTCCTACCCCACCCGCCGTATTCTCCAGACGTTGCTCCCTTTGACTATCACTTGTTTCGATCAATGGCACACGGCCTGGCTGACCAGCACTTCCGGTCTTATGAAGAAGTAAAAAATTGGATCGATTCGTGGATAGCCTCAAAAGATGACCAGTTTTTTCGACGCGGGATTCGTATGCTACCCGAAAGATGGGAGAAAGTAGTGGCCAGCGATGGAATCATAAATGTATAACCAGTTTTTTACAATAAAGCCTCGAATTTCGGAAAAAAAACGGCGGAAGTAAAGTTGTACATCTAATAATTTATATTAATTTTTATTTTTTACATATTGAGGATGGCCAAATCTTAGCCGAAACAATCAATTTACATTATTAATAAACAAATTTTTAATTTTGGTTTTCTATTAACTATTAAATTTTTCTGTTAACTATTAAATTACAGCTTTCATTATCACACAATATTCTATGTGTGACTATTTGCTTTTGTTATTTATTGTTTTATTTTTTTAAATTCTATGTTATTTTCAAAAATAAAACAATTTAAAATTTAAACAATATTAAGATCATGTTTTTATATTTATTTTTTGGGTTTTCATGTGGTAACAAGTACGTTATTGACATTTACCGATATTCAAGACATATACCAGCAGGATAGGAGTGAGCGGCAGGATTCTACTACAGCGCTTCGCCATAATAAAACTAATGCTGAACTAATAGGCGTGAAAAGTGATGATTTTGACAACAAAATTTATGTTGCGTACCATTTCGTTATTATTTGCTTAATCGTGAAAATGTGATTTGTCTCGTACTTATCAAAATCATAATTATCGATGAAAACTAAAGTTATCTTGAACTTTTATATGTAAAAGCATATATGTTACTCGTTTCAATAGTTATCGGACCGTATATTTCTGCCCGAATATAGGCTAACTTTATATCCCTTTTACGACCATTTACTGATTATCAAGAAAGGAAAGAATAGTTTTCATCGATTTTTATAAGTGTTTTAAAGTGATCTCATCATTTCGTTTCATCCAGATCTTTATTTAAAAATGGCATGCAACATAAATTAACGTGTCATTCCTCGCTTCTGACGATTTCAACATGGCCGCTGCGAATAGTCAGGAGCCTTAAGTTGTAGACGGAAGTAACGCACAAGCATTCACGTATAACGTATAACTTATTGCCGTGTCTCCAAGAGACGGCAAATAGTATGTTATATGCCAAAGCTTGTGCGTTACTTATGTCTACAATTTAAATCTCTAAATAAGTGTTACGACAATTCTTGTGCTCAGATCCTTAAAATAAAAACGAATATCGTCCCATGTTCAGTTGGCAGCCTTTTCCCCTGACACGACATTCATAGACAGAAACGACAGAGATTTAGAGAGAAATGTTTGCAAACTAAGCACATGCTATCCCTTTCACTACTAGCAGTCCATGTGTTTATTTAGTCAAAAGTGACGACGAATTAGACGTGCATCTCTTTTAAGGTACCTTTTCTGGTTATTCTATAATGTGTTTTTTATTTTGTTTCTTGCTTTTTGCAATTTTTTTACATTGTTTTTTTGCTTCTTATCTGGTTTTTTGTTTTATGCCCTGAGATAAAAGTTAACGAACTTCGGAAGAAACAGGAAACAAAGAGCATATTGTAGAATCAGCTTTCACGTCACGCTGAAACACTCGCTGCAACACAACTGACATTTTCTAGCGTCAAAAAGATCACGTGACACACACAATTATTACCAGTGATAACTGAAATCCATGAAAAGTTTATATCGAATATCGTTTATATCGTCGAATTTGAGCGACAACTTAACTTATTTTGAATATTATATTTATTTACATTTATTTAATATTTATTCGTTGTATGTATCATGTAAGCTTTTAAATTTTATTTCATTAACTGCATTGACTGTAATTTTTAATGTTGCGTGATAGTGGAAGTTTATAATTCCAAAGAGGCTTTCGTAACTGGAACTAACTTTTTAAAATGAGAGTTTCTTCATCATTAAGTTTTGCTTTTAAGCCTTCATCTGAATTTCTTCGTTTCTCATAAGAATTTTATTCAGATAATATTCTTGTATGGACGAAACAAAATCTAAATATAAAACTTAAATACAATAAAAAAACAAAAAAAAGTTTTCACATTATTTTGATACAATCATCAAATTTATTACTTATTTTTCTTGTGTGATTGCGTTGTTACTATTTTTTTATTTATACTTGGCATTCTACTTTTTATTATGGTCACTCCATCATCTGCAAGATATTAAATAATAACATTAAGTTAAATAATAAATATAATAAAATGTCTATCTTAATATATAACAGTTATAGGAGCTATTTCATCTAATAAAGGATATAACAGTTATAGGAGCTAATTTATCTAATAAAGGATAAAAATATAATGTATCAGGTTCAGTTATGTATTGTATATAACCTTAAACAAGCATGATTCCTGATATTTGTTTGCAGACAGATTTCACATAACCCGCACATTTGTATGGGATTGAGAGGATTCATCCTGAAAAATATGTTAAATTTAATACTACAAATATTTCTAAATTACTTCTAATTTATATTAGTATTATTATTTCATATTTTAGCTAATTATAATCTTTCAGTCCTTGTAAAATTATAATATATGTATTTTTAAAATATATTCTTTGGTTTGTACGATACTATTGAAGATCGCAAAATTTAGAAGATGTAAAATTTGTAAAAATTAATTACATACGTCAAAGTCTATTTTTTATTTTAAATCGATATGATTAACGAAGGTCCAGCGATGACGTTAACTGTTAAATTCAACTTCACTTTTTTTATGCTAGCAAGCAAAATGGTCAGGTGACGTCTTTTAACAATGAGCGTCAGCATAAAATGGCACCTTTAGGCTGCATTTTCATTCGATGAAAAAGCCTTAAGGCTTGTGTCCACGCTAAAAATCAGTCCAAGACCTAGATAAAGAATGAATTGACCAATCACAATGGTCATGTGATCAAATTGTTCAAATGTGATTTATTAATTTTTTTTCTCTGTCCGAGATCTCGAATCGATTTCTAGTATCGTGGATATTGAGCTTTAGTCCATTCTGCCTCTTTGCGAGTGTCATCGTTTCATCATTAATCGTCATCATTAAACCATCAAACATCCTATATATGTTGTCTCCTCTTTAATATATCATTGAATCAATGATATATGGTATTAATTTTAAATTTTATTTTTTTATATATCTGTGAAATTTATTTTTAGGAAATATATTTATACAACGATTTAAAGGCCTTGTGTATTTAACAATTTAAAGAAAGAAAATTTTCTCTAAATCGTTATGCATATGTACAATAATAAAATAATATTTTTAGAGAAGTAATATACTTACAATCTAATTTGTTTTCTCTACGATAGAAGAACAAAATAATTTTATATCTTTTACATTCAGTATACAATATTTATATATGTTACATGAACTGATATTCAATGTTGTCTCCTAAATTTTATCCGTTTATTAATTAGCAATATACGTTTAATGTAATATTTATGTAAATATAAAACATGTTATCTAAATATAAAACAAAGCTACTTTTTCTCTCCACCGATTGTATAAGCAATTTTTGTTCTATTCACTTATTAATAATATTTACCACAGCATAAAAGTATAACCAATGTAATGTTTAATCAAGCTTATTAACTTCAGTAATTTTGTTAAAAAAAAATTGCTTAATGTTGCGGACAAATTTTATAAAATTAATTTAATTAATTATATTTAATGCAAAGTAAAATATAGTAATTTATGCATAATAACAATATATAGGTCAGTATTCATAGTTCCTTATTTTAAGTAATGTTTTAAGTAATGTCTTAAAATGCTAATTCTTTGATCGGTTTATAACATCTTAAGACTATACTTAAGACTATACTTAAGTCTTGTATATAAAATCAGACCATGAATACTAGCCATAATTTAAATTTATCTGAAAACGTTTTATATCTTTGATTTTAACATTACTTCTAATAACACTTTAAGATGCCCATGCTTCTAACTCTTTCAAGTCGTCATCTTCTTCTGGTTTAGCTTCTATAAATAAAATATATCAATGTTATATTATTGTAAGATCATGATTTAATACGATAAACATATTAATGTTTTTTATATGCTTGACGCAAATTGTTTAAAACATTTTTATAATATATAGGAAATTTATAATATTATAGTAATAGTTACTTGTACGAGTTTTGCTTGGCGCAACAGGAACTGAAGTTGGTACCGCTGGTAATTCATCTGTCGTTGTATCGATACCAAGTAATTCTTTGTCAAGTTGTTCTTGTTGAAGTTCTTCTAGCTCCTTTTCTAATTCGTCTTCATCAGCATCTTGGCCAAATGCTACTGGATTAGATATAGCATCTGAGATTTCTCTAGCCACATCTTGTTGTTCTGCTATGTCATCCATCATATCGTGTACTTGATCAACGTCCCTATAATATAAATATAATATGAAAATATATAATTACAATATAAACATATAAACATGAAATTATTTAATAAATAAATTACATTCTTACTTCTATTTAAAGAGATTTTTTTTATGTCTAACATGTTCATATTGTAACTAACAATACAATTGTAGTAACAATACTCGGATCATATCAATATTTATGATTGATTCTTATATTTAAGACAGTCTTAAGATAAAAACGGATCATAAATACGCACAGACAATCCAAAAATTACATTAACTCTTTGTTGCACAAATTTTTTTATAAAATGTATTTTGCTGAATTTTAATATGGTGTTTTTGATTATAAATCTTCAGTCAAAATTAAAAAAAACAAAATGAATTTAATATGGTAACTAAATTGAAAAAAAAAATAACTATGGTTTATATATTTTAGTTTACATTATTAGGTGTACAACTTTGCTTCCGCCGTTTTTTTTCCGAAATTCGAGGCTTTTGTAAAAAACTGGTTATACATTTATGATTCAAAGTATTGTCCATCGCTGGCCACTACTTTTTCCCATATTTCGGGTAGCGTACGAATCCCGCGTCGAAAAAACTGGTCATCTTTTGAGGCTATCCACGAATCGATCCAATTTTTTACTTCTTCATAAGACCGGAAGTGCTGGTCAGCCAGGCCGTGTGCCATTGATCGAAACAAGTGATAATCAGAGGGAGCAACATCTGGAGAATACGGCGGGTGGGGTAGGACTTCCCATTTCAACGTTTCCAAGTATGTCTTGACCACTTTCGCAACATGGGGTCGAGTATTGTCATGCTGCAAAATCACTTTATCGTGTTTCTCGTTGTATTGCGGTCATTTGTCTTTCAATGCTCGGCTCAAATGCATCAATTGCGTTCGATACCGATCACCTGTGATTGTTTCAGTCGGTTTTAACAGTTCATAATACACTACGCCGAGCTGGTCTCACCAAATACAGAGCATGACCTTGGAGCCGTGAATATTCGGTTTGGCCGTCGACGTGAAAGCATGGTCGGGAACTCCCCATGATTTTCTGCGCTTGGGATTATCGTAATGAACCCATTTTTCGTCCCCAGTCACAATGCGATGCAGAAATCCCTTCCGTCTTTGCCTTTCAAGCAGCTGTTCACAAGCAAACAAACGCCGTTCAACATCTCTGGTTCAACATCTTCAATTCGTACGACACCCAATTTCCTTACTTTTGAATCATTCCCATGGCTTTGAGGCGTTTTGAAATGACTTGTTGAGTCACTCCCAATGATTGTGCCAATTCTTCTTGATTTTGACACGAGTCTTGCTCAAGTAATGCCTCCAATTCTGCATCTTTGAAAACCTTCTCTCTTCCACCGCTATGCCGGTCTTCGACGTCAAAATCACTGTTCTTGAAGCGTTGAAACCACTCACGACACGTTCTTTCATAATAGCGGCCTCACCATAAGTATTTGAGAGCATTCGATGAGCCTCAGCCGCAGATTTCTTCATATTGAAGCAAAAAATTAAAACCTTCCGCAAATGACGAGAATTTGGCTCGTAAACTGACATTTTCAATCGAGAATAACTTTATGATGCAGACACAAATCGACTAATGTTTCTATGGGGTTATGTTGACAGATGCCCAAGTTTGTATGACGTCTATGATCTATTTATTTCGACCACCACGTACCGCTAAAGCCATCTATAGGAAAACGGCGGAAGCAAAGTTGTACACCTAATACAAGTAAAATTTTATACATAAGAATATTAAAAAATTATAAAGAATTAAGATCATTAAGAATATAAAGAATTTATATTTTATTAATATCAGAATTCAACATGTCTTAATAATCATTTTGGTGGCCATTTTGAATCTGCTATTAAAAATTTGCCAATTATGAATGCAGATTTGAAATTAGCGACTTAGAAAACATTGACATACAGATTTTGAAGGTATGTTTATTGTCATTTTCATCCCAAGCTAGAATTTTGTATTAAAAAATTTTTTTACTGATGTTTTATTTATAATTTATATTTAATGTAAAATTTGAAATATCTTCGAAACATAATGGCACCAAATAAATATGAAGAAAAACAACGATACCAAATATTAATATAAACAATTATCAAGTACGTAATATAAATCAATTATTATCAATAAGTAATATAAGTCAAATAATATGTAAAAAATACAAAAACTAGCGAGAAAGATGTGCCTCCTACAGGCACTATGCTACAAAGAGTTAAGCAGCTAATTATTAGCAACTGTAAAAACGCGAAAATCTTACATATGTTGATGTGCAGCTTTCATTGCGTCTGCAGCTCCCTTCATAGTAGTAAGAACGGCAGTATTTGTATTTGCACTTTCTAGTGCTTCTCTTTGCATTTCAATTGTAGATAATGTGCCATCAATTTGCTGTAATTGCTTCTCATATCGCTTTTTTCTTTTCAGCGCTTGGATGGCAGCTATAATATATACTATTCTTAATGCTTAATCACATATGCAATACGCGAAATGTTAACAATTTATGCGAATTGTTAACAATATGCTACAGTTTATTAATAGATTTGAGAATTGATTGACAGATTTTTATATTGAACTTATGTTCTTCTCAGAGTCCATTGACATAATTTGATTAACAAAAATCAAGCAGAATTTATCACGTCATAATTCTATTAATAATTAAAATGTTCATTCAATTACGAAATTTTGGTTCTGCAGTAAATCTATCATATTTCAGTCAGTAGATTTTATTATATTTTTGCTGATATTCTATTGACAAATCTCTCCTTTAAATACGAGAGTCATCAATAATAATCTGAAATGTATTTATAAAATTATATTAAAGCATCAATAGATTTACATTTATCTTATTTTTCAACATAATCTTTTAGCTTTTCAATTTACTTGGCTATCCATAAGTTCATGTTTTCAGTAAAAATTTTTGATTAGTTTAGTCACTTCTTTCGTATTTTAGTCAGTAGCAAATTGATGATATTATATTTTTGAATAAATCAAACAGATTATAATTACTCATTTCCCTGAATTATTATTTAATTAAAGAGGTTTTAAGAAGTTATTGATTTAGCACTACTAATCAAAATGTTAAAAATGATACCGAGAAATTAACAAAAAACAATTATAATTTATATTAGATTGACGAGAATAAATTAATTAAGAGAAATATATCTATTTTCGATC